TTGAGGGTTTTTCGGGTTTTGGGGGATTTGAATATTCGGGCTCTAGGGCTTCGAAGCTTAATGGCCAGAGCTTTCAATCCGGAGGGTTCTGCGAAGCGGCGTTTAGAACAGCCCAGATGCGACTGCAGGAGCGTCCCGCTGACATAGTCTAAACCAGTATACTCCTAAACGCCCAAACGCCCAAACCCTGAACCTTTTTTAAGTTTTGAACCCGTGCTGAGTCCTACACCAAACCCCTGAACTTTTAAACCCCTGACCCCGAAGCCCTACACTCCTACAGCTGCTGTGCCCGCAGGCAGAGGCCTACATCCGTGAGGCTGTGGAGATGTACGAGGCTGGTGGCAAAGTAGGTCTTTAGGGTTTTAGGGTTCGATGTTTGGGGTCTAGTTAGGGCTTTTGGTTTAGGGTTTCAGAGATTCGGGCGTAGGGGGGCGAGGGATCCGGGGTCGCACGCGATGCGACTCTTTGAAGCCACAGGCTCGCGAGAGCAGGATCGGTCACGGTCACCGTGAAGATTTCTCGCGGGCGGAACGCTTGCGCCCGGCCGGGTCGCCACGAAGTTGTTTCGTATGTTTGGACCGACTCAACGCGTGATGCGAAGGGAGCGCCTTCGCCTGCACGCGGATCTGGAGGGGGCGCGTCGCAAAAGATAGTCCCATTTGATTGTTCTTTAGGTTGGACCACAGGCATTTCGGCTCCGGCTGACGGAGAACGCAAGCGGGTCCGACTGCTGCCTTCCGGTGATGGCAAGGACAACGAACTTCGTCTGGTATGGATCAACTCTGACGACCCGCAGATGGGAAGGTGGTGGTTCGGGAAGGCTCGCAGCAGGCTTAAGCGCACCCCGCCCTTCTTCATTCCTCTCCTCCCTTTAAAACGGTGGATCCCATTCGTACTCAGTCATCCTCGGCCAGACCGATTTGCAGCGGAACAAAGGCAGGGGCGGAGCCACTGCGCCCGAAGTTATGCGAAGCATTGAACACGGCGACTCGCAGCAACGCCTCCTCTTTGGGGGGGAGGGGGTTGCGGGCAGAGGGTCTTCGACGTCGCGTGCGGCATCCGGTGCGGCGCTTCAGGCGGAAGCTGCATCCTGCGGAAGTCACCACGGTCGACCGCGTCATTTTTATTGGGTGAGCGAAGCATTTCTTCTTACCTGCGCTGAATTCACGGTGGCCGAAGGGGTGCACTTTTCTTAGCAGGCAACGTCAGCGGCGCAATCGCTATCGTCGGGCTCTATGTGGCTGTTCATGCACGCAAGCATCCCGCGCTGTCGCCAGCCGCGAAGTCAATGTTGTCGTCTAATTCGCCTCGACGCTGTGGCGGCACATGTCGCTTCTACCGATCCTTCTTGTGCTATGAAAAAGTGACCTTCGGATCGTGGGGCTTTTGAGCGGCCTCGTTCGAAGTTGGACATGTAGTCGCGAGATTCCGCAGCATTTTGCCCTTATTATCGCGTCTGTTCAGTGGCCGAGGTACAACGTCCCGGCCCCGGTAACGTGTTTGCAGACGGCGATTTTTTTGTTTAACAGGGTGCTCTCATTCCTGCAGCGACGTCGATCGAGCTTTCGAGCGATTCTCGTTGACTCGGAGGCCATTTTGTTCCTCCCTTCACGTTTATCCACGAGAACACCGCCTTGCTGTTCTCTGGTTTCTAGCTGCCACACAGGTGACGGCCAGCAAACAGGTCAATGCAAAGATTTTGCGTCGGTACCGGAGGATCATGCTTGCATGTTTCCTCGACGACGGCAGTGGAGCGGGTCCTGCCGCGAATGTTAGTGACACTGTTCCAAGGACGGAAGCGGCCTTCCCGCAGAAGTCGTTCATGACGTTAGCTCTAGACGGATCCGAGTGGGTACCAGTCAGTCAGACAGTCACTCAGTCAGCTTACTGCGACTTAGCCCAACAACTCGCAGCTTGAGCTGTGCGTGCATTTGTTATCCTTGGGTCTTGTAGATATTATACCCTCAAGACCCTACTCTAGCTACTCAGGCACCGGCACTGCGTACACGGGTGAAAGCGCTAAACCCTACGTGATACACCCTTAACCGTTGGGGGAGGCGAGGTTGAGTGTTCGGCCATTACCGGGCTCCCAGGAATCCCAGGAAGAGATTCCCTTAAACCCTAAACCCCTATAAACCGTGGCTTTTTGTAAGGGTCTTTAGGGTTATTGTAGTAGGCCCTGAAATGGCTGCTCGGTTCTGGCGCGATTCCGCAGACTTGCCGGTCGGTGGAGGGCTGATCCTCGAAGAGAAAGGTATCGGTTGGATGCTATTCAGGACATGCAGGAGTTCAGGGGTGCTGTGCCCTAAACCCTAAGCCCTAAACACTCCCAGAAATCATCGAGATGTGGCTTCGTTGGTTTCGCTTCGAGCCTTCCCCACACAATTGGCCCTTGACTTTCGTCTCGCGTCTTGGGTCCATGCCTAGTACTGGTCGTGTCACCTTTGCACGCCTGTGGCTGAACCCTAAACCCTAAACCCTAGCTAGATCTGGCAGGTCACCTGTGGCGAGACATCGCCTCCGACTCAGACTTTGTGTCTGTCAATCCACCTAGATGAGACTTTCCGAAAACTAGAGTACCTTATTTTGGGGTCCTTATAATAAGGATCCTACTATTTAGGGTACTATATTAGGGTCCCCTATTTTCGGAAACCCCTAGATCTCGAACTGTAGCTTTTTGTCGTGGGTAGCACATGCCATGGTCAAGGTCCGCCATACTCTACTGAACAAAACCAATGCAATCAAAAAGCAACTGCTTTGCCGGGTTTTGGTAGGACTTGTTTAGTACTTAGGCTACGGGATGGCTTAGAGCATGAGGCGTTATATGTGGGAGTTCTGGCTGATGGTGGACAGCACAGGTTGATTGACGAGATTTCCGTGAGTGTATATGGGAAGATTAGTGAGTGTGCTTGGGTGTCCTTGCGAAGATACCAGTGTAAACACCCTGCGCTCATTTAGCTCATACAACTACAACCAAGTTTGCAGCAGCTTTCCGCACACCCATGTGAATGATAATTCGCCGACCATAGGCAGCCGGACAGGGTGATAAATCGTGAACGGTTGAACCGCTTCATGCAGGCACAAGACGCTTGTACTCCCACATCTGGAGCCTTAGAACGGCATGACGGCATGTTGCATGCTTGGCTAGAAGTATCTAGCTGCTGAGGGCCTGCAGCATCGCCACTGATTTTCTGAGACTCGGACCGGAGTATTTTTAAGGTAGAGGTAACTGTCCCCAAGAGCCTTGCAAAGTTTGGGAAGGTGTTTCGCACTACAAGTCGCCTACTGTGGGTTCTTCCCGATCATGAAGAGGAGTTGTTGTTGAGGTCGGGTGCTGGTCACACTGACATCCCAAACTATTGGTGGCAGTTTCCCTGCCCCCCCCCCCCCCCCCCCGGGGTGAGTGTGACGACATGCACTCGAAAGTCCTAAACTATAACCGTAAGCACAGGCCACTCACAGCCAGTGCGTACCACGAGCTGGGCAAGGCGAAGCACAACGTGGGAAATACTTAGTAGCTGAGTCGGGAACCTGTAAACCTCCCCCCAAACCTCAAACCTATTCAGGCTTTGAGAACTGGCCCTTAGGAAGGAGCATCAGCCTCGAAGGCTTGAGATGCCAAGACTTTCAGGGTTCAGGGTATATCTAGGGGTTTAGGGTTGAGGGTTTCCTCGGCTCAGCACGCGCTCAGAAAAGGTTATATCTAGGTTCTACTTTCTCGGGAAGAGCTCATGCCAAAAGCAGCTCAGAAGGTTTCACATCGGGCTTGTTTTCCTCTGGCAGACATCTACTGCATGCACCTGTACCCTAAGGGTCCATGTGCCCAAATAGAAGATACTTCGGCGCCCAAGTACCTATACAGGGACTACTTTAAGGCCGAAATCTATACTATTTGTGTACATGGACCCTTCGGGGTAGCGACGCCGACCTTCAGTTCCTATTTATTTGTCCCTGTTTGCAGTATTATCATGTCCTTCGCTTCAGGGGGCAGGTAGATTCAATCCTGAATTTCTTCATCAGCCTTGCAAGAATCTTGCACAGAAGCCAAGTCCATTCTTTGAGGCTTGGAGTTCAGTCTCAGTGAGACGTCTCACCTCCCTTGGACCTGTTTGCAACAGACAGACCATCATTGCGGTCTCGAATCTGAAGCCAGACACACGAACACCCTGTTCAGTCAGAGTTGGGAGAAATTAACGAAAGCTCAGCACCCGGCCCTACAGCTTGTGCCAGGTATTGTGGGCTCAGCGAAGACGCGAGGACGCACAGAAGGCCTTTATTGGTGGTGGTGCAAGAACATAGACCGTCACTTTCATGGCACCCATATCATTAATCATCCATAGCCATAGACTGCAGTGTCTGCTCGTCTGTTTCCTCGTCAGCCGTACAAAGGGCAGGGTTGAGGGCCAGTTGGCCGGGAGGCCACAATACACGGCACCGCCCGAATCGAAGCCCTCGAATGCCCTGATGCTTTGGGTGCAATGCAGAAGCCTAAATGCTTACTAAGATTATTCCTTACAGTTCCTGGTTACTTGTATACTATAATGTACCCCCAAGCCCTATTTAATGAATCAAGCAGAGCATCGGCATCTATGATGAGACCCAACAATACTTTTCGTGTTGCAGCAGCCGCGGATGGTAGCAGCGGGTTTTTGGGCTTCCAGCTGCATCTGCTGACTGTCTAGATGAGTCTAGAAACCGTGCCCCAACATGCACTCAAATTAGCCTGCCTGAAGCTTTCTCCTAGACGTCTACGCGAGTTGTGCCTCAGCTCGTAGCGCCAAAGACTCAACCAAGTCGTCGGAATAATTCGACAACAGGCAAGTGCCCACATGGATGGTGCAGGGGCGTTCACAGCTTATCGGTAGTTGAATCTGAATCTAGCAGAGACCCTTCTTCCTTTAGCCATTTGGGAGCATGGCCCTACTTCGGCTCGCATGAAGCTGACGGCAGAAGACGAATCGGATCTTGAGGGCCGCTGGGAGTATGTCAATGAAGGAGGCATGAACATGATTCTGCGCTACAAAGGTCCGACGCAGGACCGAGATGTGGTTGCTTCTTCCATGTTGGGGTCCCAATTATCTATCCTTGTAGTGATTGAGGCTGATGATGCCGATGGGTGCACCTGTGCCCGTGATCGGTTACTGGTGGCTGCTGTGGGTGCCGTTTTTCTTCATGTCACGTTGGAATTCGTTATTGCAAGCTGACATCTTCACCCTGCGGTGTTCCTGGCCTCTTTGAGGTCTCAAGCGGCTAGGCAGCTTTTCTAGCCTGTCGCGCTCACTACTGCCACTACCAACCACTTGCGCTGTACTCGCACTATTACCAACCCGCCGACGACTGCAACAAGCACGATTCGGTTGAGTTTACCCTAAACCCTCACTTGCCTCGCCTAGATTGTCCGAGCGTGAGAACCGAAATCCCTCAACCCTAAACCTGTTTAGTAAACCCTCTCTCCCTAAACCCAAAACCCGAATCTCCGACTTCAGAATTGGATGGTCTGCAGCCTCGCCGTCAGCAGCCCCCCCCAGGAATTGGGAGACCCAAGACCCGCAACACCACCCACCGAGAGCCCAACCCCGAAGCATCCATCCCAGAGCAGAGACTTCTGAAGACCTAGGGTTGATGATAGAAATCCTGCATTACCTTAAGGACCCTAAACGATAGGATTTATGGCATATTCCTTTTTATGGGTAATGTAGGACTTATACATCCACAGTAGTAGTAGAGTGGACATTTAGGTGTCCGAGTCCTGCAATTTTCGTATCGCATCCCCAGAACCACGCCTGGACCGATGCCTGTTTGCTCGCCAACAAACTTCGTAGCCTAATCGCAAAGCCCGTCTCACGCCTTCGCTTGGGACGCAGCTTTGACCTTTTTTGGGGGGCGTTCGGATAGTAGAATCCTTATCTATAATCCTAAAGGCTAACCTGTAGTTCGCCTGGGATATAGGGTAAGTCTCAAGAGCTTGGAGATTCATGGGTAGTTATATAATAAATGGAGAAATACGTCCCCTAATGAATATGTATGGCTTACAATCAGCGTTACCCTACTTATTTTAGCCCTAAGCCCTACAGCATGAACCTCCAAGAGGACCTCCAAGGCAAAGTCCTCCGACTGCGCAAAGGTGCCGGGTCGAGTAGACAGTTCCGAGCTCGCACAGACGGGAGATTTGTCGGTATAATATAGAAGCCACAATTTTTTCCGCTAATATTCCTTAGGGTTATTTATCATGATTGTACTATAAAGGAGCCCAAATCCCTAATCAAATTATCCAAGCTCCTACATTGGACCGAACAAAACTGCAGCGTGATATATTTCGGGTCTATCAGGTGTAGGGCAGGCACGAGTGCGGCTTGACGGCTTTAACGGTGCTGCATTGTAGTTTGTGCCGTCAGTGGTCGTCGTCATAGGAGCAGCACCCCTTCTCCTCATTTTCGATTATCGCATGCTTTTGACCACCCACTAGCCAACCGTGGGACCCATGCACTTTGTCCACTTTGTCATACTGCCACTGCTGCTGCTACTACTACTACTACTACCACCACTACTGGATGCTGAGGGGTAGATCCCCAACCTGGCTTTAATCCCCAGCACCACAAACCCTACAAAATGGTAGGCAGTGTCGTCTTTTTGCTAGTGAATCGCCGAGCCACAGGTAAGCCCTAGTTTGAAGCAGAACTTCAGCCCAAAATGCAAACCATGCCGCAAGCTGAGATATGAACTGAGGCTCGCGTCGGATTCCCGTTTTCAGCAAGAAGTGCTGCAGCCCGTCCTGGAGCGGCTGCAAGGGGGGTTAGGAACTCGTTTCTCAGCTCAGGGTTCGGGTGTCTAGGTCTTGTTCGGGGACGAAGGAGGCTTGCGGGGTGTGGGGAGGGGCCTGCGAGGTTTCATCGAGGCCTAGGGAAGTGCGGTTGAGTAGAGACCAGAGACAGGCAAGGCATGCAGATGATTCTGCATCGAGACTCAGCAGCAGCAGCTGCAGCAGCTCTTCATTATCCCGTCCAGTCTCGCCGTCGAGAATCCAGTTTCTAGCCTCGCCTGTCCCTATACCATCGGCCCTAAAACCCTGAACCCTGCATGCCAGAAGTTTGGCAGAGCTGTCTTGAAGTAAAGACGCCAGGAAGTGAGTAGCTATAGAAGCCTCCATAACTAGCAAAATTAATTCCTTATCGCCCTTATTAACTGTGCACCAAAACCCTGTTCTAGTTACTCAGGCCCCCATGTGACTTGGCACTTGCAGTTCTTCCCTACCTTGGCCAGAAGGAACACGAGAGTAAGGACGGCACGACTTTAAACGGAGGTCAGAGGCTTTAGGCTCCAGGACATACCTTCAACAGAAGGTCATCTGAAACCAGTGCAAAAACTAAACAGCAGCAACAGGCTCCGTGTAGTCAAGACGCAGGCGGTGTACCCTGGAGACACGGTGTGAAAACAGTGGTCATACAAACAACGGCTTTAGGGTTCAGGGTTAGACTACGACTACGATATGTAATTAGAGAATATAGAGACGTAGGAGTATTTGTGTTCAAGTGTTGCCATGTTCATCATCATGGTCATCATCATTCATCATCTCTTTATGTAAGTGCTTGTGCAACCGAAAGCCAACACCCACATCCTTCAACGTTGTGAGGTCACCTCAATGGCCATGTCTTACCCCTAGGGTGAAGGGTATTTTGGACGGTTGTATAAGTCAGGCGGCTATGAAAGTGATGGCTTGGCAGCTGCACCGAGCGTAGACGCACAACCCTAAAGCAAAAACCTAGAGAAGCAGGAGGGCTACGTGGCCTTCGGCACGCTCGTCGAAGTGAGCCAATCTGTGGTGGAGCGCTTGAACATCGAAGCTACGACGCAAGGGTTTTACCAGGCTTTAGGGGTTTTTGGGGTTGCAGGGTTTAAGGTTCCGGGTTGAACACCGACGCGAGGTCGGAGGTCGGCCGAATGAGGGTATTGGCTATAGGATTTGAGGCTTCTCACGTTGGAGCCTTCGATTTGGGTGGAATCGGCTGCCTGGCTCGCACGGCCATTGTCCAAACTCAGAAAAGGGCTCATCCGAATCCTTTCTGGCAATGTGATTGATCCATGGTACCGTGTTGTGGCTCGGTGCCGTGCCGTTGGCCTGACCCCTGGGCATGATGGTCATGCATTGCTTTCGAGAGAAGTGCCGATGGCGGGTGTTGGATGAGATCGTCAACTTCGTCTGGAGACTTCCATGTGCGAGTCTTTTAGTTTGTTCGAAGCCATGCAGTGCGGCAGCTTCTGTGATGCGAAAAGATGGGAAAACAGATCCGGAGGCGGGACGCTCACACACTCACAGACACCCTGAACTCCAAACCCTGCAAAACTTAACACCCAAAACGCCCTAAACCCTAATCCAAAGGGCATTCACCCAAGCAAAACTCCGTTGCTTATTAAAATCTTGGAGCCCTGTGTACCACAGCCCCTGAGCCTTCAAACCTTCCAGAGCCCTCCACCCGAAGCCTCTGAATCCTAACGTCTAAACTAAGCTGCTTAAAGCCTTCTGCCATAGACCCCAAAACCCTCAACCCAAAACCCTCAGCAACAAGCTGTCTCCAAACCAAAGAAAGCCCCAAGGATATGGGAGCTTGGATACTCCACCGACCCAGTGGCAGTTGAACAGTACTCATAACCTGCGTGGATAGAAGCGTTTAGGGTTGAGGGTCTATACTGTTCATAATCTAGATGTATAGTAAGGGCCTCAACAGTATCCTTATTGTAGACTGTTACTGGACTTTGGGGGCAGTACCCATATGAACGAATTCGTTTCCAAGGTGTCCAGCTGAAACCCCCAATCCTTCACCCAGCTGAACCCCAAAGCTTAACAGCTAAACTCCAATTTTCTTAAATTTTCACAATCCCCAGATGGGCAGTCGCCAGTAAAAGTTATCATCCTTCTGTGGGAAGTTTATTTAGGGTTTGGGGTTTTGCGTTTCGGGTTAAAATCACCGCTCTTCTAAGTATACCTAACCCCAAAACTCTAAACTCCGAGCCACCTTTCTGTAAACCTTGTTGTCGCTAAGCCCAGCGGCTGAACCCGAAACACTAACCTTAAACGCTGAACTCTACATGGCAAAAGGCCAAAACCCAGCTCATAACGGATTCTGTCGGGGTGACCTGGGATGGACGGAAAAGGCAGTTCAAATAAAGCAACATTCCCGAGCGCTGATCTAAGGACCCCGCCTGAACCTTCAAACACTCAACCCTAAACCCTAACCCGAAACTCCTAAATTCCTACACCCTAAACCCGAAACCCGAAGCCATAAACCCTATACCCTAAAGCCTAAACCCTATACCCTAAACCTTAAACCCTAATTATACCCTGAAGAACTGCGAGCAGAACCCGAGATCTAAGGAGCCCTCCATCCAGCAGAGTCGACGTCCGGAGAGGCTTTCGGCAGAAGTCCGGGATTTGGACACCAGCGCCGTGGGAGGAGTTTCTCCAAAAGGATACAGTAGTGTGTATAGTAGCTCTCTAACCTAGGGTCCCCTTTTTGGGGCCCCAATATAGTACGGCACCCTCATATAAAACAGTCCCGAAAAGGGACCCTAGTTTAGAGAACTACCCATATAGCGTGATCTACGCTATTGGGTTCTTATGCCGGGTAAATAAGAATTGGCTAGTGAAAACTCCGAAGCCCTCACTCCCTTTTAGCCGCCCAGCATCCTAAGCTCTTCAGAGCTTGTCAGCTAAAACCCTAGCCTAACCTGCATGAAGCAAACCACTCGCCCTAAAACTCTCTACGCTGCGTGTTAAACCCAAACCAATATCCTACAAACCCCAAACAGTAAAACTCTCTACACCTTCAACTTTAGTCCCATACCCAGAGTCGCCAACATACCCTTATAAGATCCTAAAAAAGCGGGCAATTTCTACCTTGTTAAAGGTACCTTGGTTACTCTAATAATAAGTCTAAACGCTAAACCCCATTTAAACCCTATATAATGTAAAGCCTTAATCATTAGAATAGGGTTTTTGGGCATGCTATACTTTGTTTAACTATAATAAGTAACCCCCCGAAAAGAAAATAGCATTGGTAGTTACTTAGGCTCCTATATCCTAGGTAGTATTAGGGAGACCCCTTAAATGGGGACTTTTCTGAACCCTACTTATGGCTCTCGGAAAAGGGACCTTGTTGAGAGGGTCTGTGTCCCCGAGGGTCCCCTTAACTCCCATTGTACTATAGTAACACCCAATCCCCAAAGGACCGCCGAGCTTCGTGTGGGGCACGCTGTGCCCGGACCTGACCTACTGCCCGCAGGGCCACACATACGAGCTTAAACCGAAGTTCCTCGACCGAACGTCAGGGTTCAGGGGTCACAGATTTAGGGTTTTGTGTTTAGGGTAGGTATGAACATCGTAATTTAGCAGCAGCAGGAGACGGGCAAGATTCGCCAGTGCTCAGTACTATCAGTGTAATGAGTACGACTGTTGTTCAGTGTAGGAAGCACAATCGAACAGTACCGGCTGTAATAATCAACAACAGAGGTCTCTTGCTCGCTCGTCAGCATTCGTGGCGTTCGGCGTGTCGGTGGGCCTTGCAGATGTCGATTTTGGGATTCAGGGTTTAGGGCTCTGCGAGCTCACTGCTCCCCGACACTGCGAGGAGGATCAAGCCCTTTTCACTGTCGAGTTGAGGGTTCTAGGGCCAGGGTTTAGGAAAAGGGCTTAGGGCCTAGGGGTCAAACGGTTTAGGGTTGAGGGGTTTAGGGTTTAGGGTACACCTGCCTGACCTTCGACAGCCATGAGCCCTAACGAAGGCTCGGCGTTGAGGATTGTCTTCTGCCAGAATGCCAGAGTCTCTCCCGCTTCACGCTGCTTCAGCAGCTCGTCGCGGCTTTTTGCTCGCGGGGATAGGGGTTACGGCCTAGGGCTCATCCTCCCCTTGGCAAACATGGTAACCCCAATTGTCCCCGTGGTTGAGAAAGGCCGCTAGGTTGCACGATGCCTTGTTTGAGGTTCCATGCCAGTTCACGGGTGGGTAAGATGCTGTGGGCACGCTTTGTGACTTTGTCGTGCAGGTTGGAGTTTTGGGGAGGTGTAGATATGGGATCCTTACAGGTCCTGCTAACGAGGTCCGAAAGCTTTCATATTTTGTGTAAGGCAGGTCCGGGCTGGGGTGGGTTGCAATAGTTGTAGTCAAGAAGGAATCTGTCTTCATTTCTCGGGCTTCAGTGATTACTCAGTGTTTGCAGCATGAAGCATATGTGACATTGGTCTTTGCAGATTAGCGGGTGGGCGTGTTTTTAAGTTATGGACTTGTGGGAAGTTCGCGGATCGTAGTCATGAGTGTGGCTGTGGCTACTGGGGTTGTTGGGATTCGAACTTCGAGTTTTGGAGTGTAAGTTCGGTTGCAATATCTGAACGATTGGAATTTGCAGACTGGCAAACGTGGCTAAAGTGGGCCGGTGTTGTCAGGCCTGTCGTCTCCTGGGTGGATTGGGCCTTGCGGATGACGCTATCTGTAGCCCTATACTTGTAGAACTTGTAAGCACAACCGTGGAGGCCAAGGAGTGAAGCTGCAAGCTGTGCAACCTCAACCCCCAAACCCTAAACCCTAAACCGAAAAAAACTTGGTACACTTCTCGATTTGTGCGTAAAAAAAGTCGAAAAACCCAATGTAGATCCGATATAGAGCTCTTTTCTACCACGGAGGTGCATCGACTACCCGAAGAAAAAGCGCTCCATCTCGAGGTCGGCCTGACTTTTCCGAAGCCCCCAAGGGAGTCTGAGGGTTTAGGGTTTTCTTAGAGAGGGGTTTAGGGTTTGGGGTTTAGGAGAGAGAGGGTTTAGGGTTTAGGGTTTAGAGTCTGGAGTCTGATAGATTGCGGCTTAGGATCTGGGGCTGAATTCATTGTGGTTCATTGAGTAGGTCCGCTGATCTACGGAGGGTGCTCGCGTTTCGTCTCGAAATTCAGAGCTTCCAATGCGTTTGAGGTACCCGGAGTCTCCAAAGCCCCGCATGCCTTCAACCCCGAAACCCTAAACCCCTTGAGCTGGGACCTACTGCAGGAAAGCCTAAGGCACCCCGCCATAACGCAAAACCGGTTTAAACCGAGATCATTCGAGATCCAAGCCTTGACTCACAAAAAGAACGCCTCCGCAAGTCCTATACGTCCCACCTCTGGCCCCTCACTGCAAAACACTTGGTTTTCACTTCTTAGACTGAGTATGTGTATAGCCCTTTATCGCAAATTGCCCCAAAGCAGGAACCCTGAAACCTCATGCTGGGTCCGATGCTTTTGAGGTACAACCCCTCGGCCTTGTTCCGCGCGATTTTTGAAGATGATGGTGCTGCTGTCTCAGAACAGCTGAGACACCTGAGGAGGACATGCTTGTGGGGTTTTGGGGCAAAGTTTAGGGTCAAGTAATAGAGATCAACGGACCTATGTAGCCGAAGGCAAGATCCCAAGCCCTTAAGGTTGCAACCCAAAGCACTCTCAGCCCTGGCTAGCAGAACAGTCCAGCCCGGAAGGGACTGTATAGGGGTTTGATTGAAGATTTAGTAAGAATTATCCCCGCAGAGTCACTATAGTCCCTTTACTACCTCTGTATTATATGATAAAACACCCCGACGCCCTCTTCGCTGACAACCGGAGCTCCAAAACAAAGCCTTGAAGCCCGAAGCATCTAGGGCCAGCGCTGACCCCCGGCAGAACAACTTCCGGGTCCTTGGCGGCCACTTGTGCCGAAAGTGGCTTTTCAAAGTGGGTCCGACGGGGTTCAGGATTTAGGGCATTTAGGGATTGGCAGAGTCTGGCTTCAAGAAAAGGGATTGAGTTAATTGAGTTTCGACTCAGCTACAACCAGGTCGGCGGTCATAGCTGCCTTAGTGTTGGCCTTCTGGATCACAGCAGCGTCTTACCCCCTGACCATTGGTCGGTTTGAAGTATTATCGATATCAGACATGATATCAGAGGAGGGCTTCTCAACCGGTTTCAGGTTCCAGTTACCTGGAAGCAAACAGCCTTTCTCTTGCCATATGAACTGTATCTCTTGCCTTCAGTTGCAGTGTTGCACCCGAATTTCGATTTTAACGCGTAAGCCCTCAACGAGCCCCCAGCCCGAACGCTGGGCGTGCTTACGGGGCACCCTACCAATGGCCCTTCGGTCATGACCTTCCAAGCAAGACCCCTCACGCCGACAAAACTTCATGCGACCTATCAGAAACTTCTACAAACTCCGTTTTGAATGTCGAGACATGCTAAAGCATTCCCATGGCCTTGGTTTCGCCGACCCCACTTCGAAGCTCAGGGGATGCCCTAAGTGGCAAGTGGGGTTGTCCTACTTATGCCCCGGCTTCTCATCGACTTAGCTACCAAGTCCCATGAGCTACTACTCCATATACAAGCCGGAGTCATGAGCACTCTTATTCCGTATAGTCCTTAATATACTTGCACAAGGTATTTCCCAAGCCTTATTCGAACTATAAGGTCCCTGATAATGGCGATCCCAGCTCTCCCCAAAACCTTAAGGCCCGAGGAAGGCCCATCCCACCTCCAGGCACAGCCTGCGATGCAAGCGACGCGGAACTGGAGGACCTCAAAGAGGCTACAGTGGTCTTACCGGAGTAGTTTAGGGTTTGGGATTGCGTGAATCAGAGCAAAACCGTAATTATGGGGCATGTTGTGCCATAGTCATTAAAATGGGGAGGTCTGAGGACTAGTATCATTAGTTATTCAGATATTCAGGCTTCCGTATTAGGAGGGTTGGGGGTGTTCGGTGCTCATTCTCCCAAGATAGTCCAAGACCGGCAATGGCGGACAATAGCTTCAATCACCAAGGTCGCCCAGTCTCAAAGAAAAGTGGTTGACACAACAGTTCATCCATTGCGACAACTAGTATCTAAGGGTTTTGGGCTTTGAGCACCGGGAACTGGGTTTAGGGTCTGGGGTTCGCCTGGGGGCATCCACACCTTCGCTTTCAAAGCACTGAGAAGTTTCACGCCAAACTCTTTCAGAGACTCCCAGCCCGAGCAAGGCCGGTTGAAAGTTGAAAGAGTCCGGATTCGGGTTAAGCTGTAGGATTTTAGGATTTGGGGTTGGGCCATTGGGGGTCCCTCTATACCCAAGGCCCGGAGCCCCAAAACCCTAAAATCTAAACCCTGGACCCTCAAACCTAAACCCTAATACTAAAGCCTATCCCCAAAGCCTAAACCCTAAATAGCCCTAAACCCCAGGTCCTTCTGCACGCAAGGGGCATTTTCGCGAAGCTCCGGGCCTTCGGGTTGCTTGCGGCGGGTGCAGCCGTCGAAGAAGCAGCTCAGGACTCGGGTTCTTCGAGGATTAGGGTTTAGGGGTTTAGGGGTTTTTGAGGGTTAAGGGGTTAAGGGGTTTAGGTTTTTGGGTTTTTGGTGTTTAGGGATTTAGGGGGTTTAGGGGTTTAGGGGTTAGGGTTTAGGGTTTAGGGGTGTAGTAGGGGTGTAGTAGGGGTGTAGTAGGGGTTTAGTAGGGGTTTAGGGGTTTAGGGTTTAGGGTTCGACAATGATTCTAGAAGAGTTTCGCCTCGCACGCTCCACGGTACTTCACTCAGTTTAAGTTTAAGCTTCCCTCGGATTCTTTACGTGTTCGACTCGTCGAGGGATTTAGGGCCTTGGGTAGGTGGGCGCTCCTTTAGAACCTTAGGTGGAGTCGCAGGTGCGTTTGGGAGTCTGTATCTTTCGCCCGCGACTGGAATTGGGACCCATTCAGGCGGCTTTGTCTTGAGTCCTCAGTATCTCCGGGGCTGAGTAGGTAACCTTTAACCTTTTGGGGCTTATATGATCCTAGTATAATTCAAAAGGTTAGCCTTTTTTTGGGCTAGGGTTCTCAGCCCCCCATGGTATTTCGGGATTGTCGGAGTAGTCTTACTGGGTGCCAAGCTGGAAATCCCGCAGCCGTGGTGGGTTAAGCTTGGCTCTGATCCGGGGGGGACGACACCAGTCGGCCAGCAGTCTGCATCTTTGCAGAGTTGGTAGATAAGCACTTTTGTCGGCGTATATAGCCCAAACCCTAAACTTTATGTAAACCATTTCAGCATTTGTGGTTTCATTGATTGTCGGCCAACAGCTGGACAGCTAAGGCATCATGCACGCATCCAAGGCGAAGCATCAAAACTTTCAGGCGAGGAAGTATGAACGACCCGGTCTCAAGCAGGACGAAATTGAGGAAATCAAGGAGGCGTTCGATCCTTGGACATGGTCAGAACCTCATACTCAGGTCCTACATATTATCCCAAGAGCATTAAGCCTTAGTGCCCTTAGGAAACTGGACCCTGCACCCAAACCTTACATCCTAAGCCCCGAAAGATCGGGACACCGACAGATCTCACCTGGAGCATACAGTAGAAGCGCAACCGTTGGAAACCCAATATACCTCAATCGTGAAGAGTAGTGTATAGGGCATCCCAGCACTCATTGTCCTTAATCCGATTTCCCACTTTTTTGCTTTTGCTCCTATAAATCCTAAACCCTAAACCCCAAAGGCTTCACCTCTTGCTCCACTCTAATGTCGGAACCTGATGAAGAAGCCCTGGCCCTAGAACCCCGCTATATTGGGAGTCATAAGCAGTTCCCTTACAAAGGAAACGAGTTTCTCAGCCAGGCACCTATATTAGAGCCCTAACAGAATCCTCTAGATCCCTTAAAGGGGCTCTAAAGGAACCCTCAACCTGAATTTAGAGAACTGCTCCTATAGTACCCTTATAGAAACCCTTATAGATCCCGTTGAGGGAACCCTTAAAAGACCCGGCGTTGTAGAACCCAAGGATCTCTTCGACACGGATCAGTCAGGTGAGATCGATCTACGAGAGCTGAAGGCGGCCATGCAGTCTCTGGGCTATGAGAGCAGCTGGGTGGCACTGGAGGGTTTAGGATTCAGGGTTTTGGGTTTTGGGTCTTGGCTTCCTGGGAGAGAAAGAGAGAGTCAGAGGGAGAGGGTTGGGTTTAGGGTTATGTCCATGGTTTCGGCTTGTTGGGAGACTTTTGATTTCCTTTGTGGCTTGATTAGACAGTGCTTATTCCTGAATATTGCCGGGGAGCCCTTAAAGCTTCTACGCAGGCAAGAATGACACGATCTTCACGATGCTTGCTGAGCTGGACAAGGATGGGAATGCCTCCTTAGACTTTGACGAGTTCTTGGATCTCATGTCCGGCAAGGAAGGAAGAGAAGAGAAAGACACCAAGGAGGAAATTGACAAGATCTTCAAGCTTTTCGACGAGGGGAACAAAGGCCACATCGATGTGAAGGATGTTCAGAAGGTCTGCAAAGAGCTTGGCGAGCGGCTGACGAACGAGGAGATCACCGAGATCGTGCGCAGAGCATGTCAGGATGAGTCCAAGGGCGAAATCACGGCTGAGGACTTTTACCTGGTCATGACCAAGAAGACGTTCCCATAAGCGGATGAGTTCTTCCTGCGGTCGTTCCGGCTGCAGTAGTGGGGTGCTGGGTGGGAGCCACGCAGAAGCAGCAGTGGAGCCTTGTACCAGCGAGGGTCGGAGACGATGAACAGCAGTCAGCGATTAGTTCTGATTCCCTTAGTTCTGTTGGTGCTCTTCAAGTCTAGTGTTTCACGTACAGTAGTAGAGCAGACGTGGCCGCTGAAACTATATGCGGACACTTATTGCGACTTACCGGTAAAAGTGTTCCGTTCCAGCCTGTCCAGCCTCGGCTGGACTATGCGAGTGCATGCGCCGTTGTCGCCAGTCTTATGATGAGTTGTGATGGGGAGTACTTTTGGCAGTGTTATCGGTGTGATCGCGATGATTGTTATGCTTATTGTTCTTACTATTGTTATTGTTGTTATTCTTGATATTATTAGTTTACATTGTTGCATGGTGGTTATTATGCTGTATTAATTATTTTCTGATGCTTCTCTTGGTTAACATCATCATTCTTGAGATTATTGGCATTTCTGTTAATACTACCATTATACTTCGTCTTGTCACCGTGACCATTGTAGCCTAGTTGTTAACAGTACGGGTGTTTATCTTGATGATCATCATCACCATCACCATGTTACAGAACGCAAAAGTCGAAAAGGCGCACTCCCACGGCCCACAGCGACCCGGACTCTATCAAGTAGTAGTAGCAGTAGTAGTAGTAGTAGTAGTAGTAGTAGTAGTGGTAGTAGTAGTAGTAGTAGTAGTAGCAGTAGCAGTAGCAGTTGCAGCAGTAGCAGTTGTTGCAGTAGCAGTTGCAGCAGCAGTAGCAGTAGCAGTAGTGGGAGGAGGAGGAGGAGGACTCGTGCTAGTACGAATACTAGCACTAGTATTATTACCATGATTATTGCGATGATGATTGTTCTTATTGCTATTGTTAAGACTATGATCATAAGTTCTACTAGCTCTCTTGCTATTATAGTTTAGGTTTCCAGTGCGTTTATTGTGACTATTGCAATTGTTGATTATTGTCGATATGGCTATGAGTATCAGGATTATCATATTTCCCTTGCGATCATTACAGTCAACTTGAGTATCTACACTAGACCTCATAAGACATATTGATAAACAACAATGTGAAAATGAATCTCGACATCCATGTGGTTATTTTTGCTGGTACTATGATTGCTCTCTGTTATTGTTATTGTCAGAAATTTTTAGTCTCAGTCTCATTATGTTTATTCTTGCTGCTGTTGCCATTAAAGTTAAAATTAAGCTCATCATTAGTGTTAGCATTGCTGTTGCTGCTGTTGTTGTTGTCGTCGTCGTCTTCGTCGTCGTTGTTGTTGTGCTGATGTTGCGACTATTCCCGTTGCCTCGCTTTGAGGAGCTTTATGTAGCCGCCGGGTCCCCGACGCAGCTGGGTCCAGAGGTGGCCTAGGGCTGGGCTTTAGGGTTTAGGTGCAGGTGGCTTTCGCAGCTTTAGACAAAGCCCTAAAGCGGAAACGGGTCAACACCTTAATAAACCCTGAAACTAAGCCTTTTGAAGTTGCATGGACCTCGAAGCCCTCAATCGTGGGTTCGGGTTTTTGACATTGAGTTTTTTTGGGGGTGGCGATTTGCTTTCAGCCAGAATCCTGAGCGAGGTGCTCAGGGGTTCAGAGGTTGAGACTTGAGCTTTTGCTTCTGATGTCGGGTCTACCGTAGCAGGTTTGGGGTTTAGAGTCTGGTCTTTGCTTATGCCAAAACCATGCGCTGTGTTGACCACTTGTCAGCTGCCCAATCCTATCCTCACGATGAAGTCTTACGAGGTGCAAAGTAGTTTGCGCGTAGACTTACAACAGCAGTGCCTTCGTTTTCTTCAAGCGTGGTTCTCCCACTCCCAGCCCTGCTCATGTTACCTTTGAAGGTCTTGTGGTAGTTTTCCTGCTGCCCCCAGGTCTTCGAGCAGGCATTCACCCACTGCGGGACCGCTTTGCTTGCGCGCCTGGAAGCAGACATGGACGATGAGGCTGCCATAGAGCTGGCTGCTCGGGCGTGAACAGGTGCATTTTGCGCCATGCATTGCGTGCAGGCTCGCTTCGGCTTTGATGCTGGAGAACATGAAATGTGCTCTTGTGGACCACAACAGAAGCATAGGCATAGGCCGAACCCAAGCCCCGAAGCCTTTCCAACCCGCAGTACTCAACACTACCACCCCCAACCCGAAAAACCGTGAAAGCCGAAAGCCCAGCCCGAAGCTTAATTCCCGGACTGGGGATCCATGTCATCACCTGAGAGCCTTCGTGCCGCTTTTCCAAGGTTCGCCAGACCTACCGAGCCCTTTGGATGCTCTTCAGTGAGGTGCGGATGTTTTCAGGACCCTCACTGTCTCCTCAAGGGAGGTATACAGGGTGTAATAACCCTGAACTCTAAACCGGTAAGACAGGGTAGATGGAGGGTCTGGTAGTAGGGTCCAGAGTTTCGGTGCAAGAGTTCCTCCACTCCCTTTTGTTTCGGTCTTGCTTGGAGGCTGCCTCTGAAGAGCAAGGGTACGCGCACTTGGCAACACATTTAACGCATATCATATCACACACACATGTATGTGGTATACATATTTATAGATAGATAGATATATATATATACATACATACACATACATATGTATGCTGGTTATTTTTACATCTTATTTTATGGAGATATAGTCCTGATCCTTCAGAAGCACGCAAGAAATCTGCAATGCTGACATCTTGGGCGACGCGGAACTACCGCTCGACTTCACAAGCGCCGGCAGATCTCGAAAACCTTGAAACTAGAACCATTGCAACACGAAGCCCGTTATCGCATTATAGTGCCCTCATATGCGGCGAAATAGCCGTGCTCACATTGCAGTTATGAGTGCTGTGGTATGGGCCGAACTGGACAGTAAGGGCTCCGTTGTGAACAACATAAAAATGTTAAACATGAGAATAATTCGTTCATGATCCAACATGGCATAAGATGGTCAAGTATAAGTGTTTGGGTACCAAGGACCTCCGTCCACAATGGGGTCTGGCACTCTTCCTCCTCGGCAGATCAATACAAGATGCATCCCTGGTCGTGAACGTGCGCCAGATGCAGCCCGGGGAAAGCCTTGCATCCTTTCGCACGCTCCGCTATGGAGAGGTAGATGAAGTTCCTTGGTAGCTAGGCTTGTGCCTTTCAAACTTCGATCTTTCTGTGTCTATTCAACTTCTTCACCGTAGACTCTACAAGGTCTAGGGTTTAGGGGTTTAAGGTTTAGGGTTTATTGGCCTGGCAACGAAGGTTCGGCAGCTGATCGGGCGCATAACGATCATTGACACGGACATCAAACCAGCAGATCGCATTCCGCAGTATGCAGAGACACTGCGAGTCTACAGTAGCCACCGGCACGTGGAGCATTTGCAAAGCTTCCTGAGGGAAGGGCAGAACCTCAGAAGTCTTAGTGGTATCTTTCTAATTACGAGGGGCCCCTCCATAGATGCAACCCTAGGCAAAATTTGCCCTTAGCCTTAGACATAAAGTAAATGCATGCTTAGTCTAACTTCTTTTGCAACCCTAGGCAAAATTTGCCCTTAGCCTTAGACATAAAGTAAATTCATGCTTAGTCTAACTTCTTTTGCAACCCTAGGCAAAATTTGCCCGTAGCCTTCGACATAAAGTAAATGCATGCTTAGTCTAACTTCTTTGCAGCCTCTGAACTGGGCAAATCCCAGGAACCTGGACGAGAGCTTGTCCAGCGTTCAAGCTCTGCTAGACCGGAGCATGGGCTTCTCAGACGGCGCCGCTTCAAAGAGATCTTAGCTTCCCAGAGCGAGTGAATTTGTGCCATAGGGGTCTCAGGGAGTAATTCGTCAGTAGACCCCCATCGGCTCCCAAAATATCAGGCTTAGGCCCTAAGCCCACTTACTGCTGCCTAGTTGGATGATGTGAAACACTCTTGAGAAGAAGCCTTCCGTTTACGCAGCCATAACCTCGCTTGGTTTTTCCGAGTGTGAGCACCGAAACCCACTTATATTCATGGCAGTTCAGGGTTTCGCGGCTTTTGGCCCTGCAAGTGTAGGATTTGCTATCATGATTTAGGGAGGTACCCTAAACGCTAAGCCCTAAACGCCAGTACATAGGACCCTTTTGGTTCTGAGAAGTAACGGGGCCGGTCACATCATCAGACCGAAATATGCGAAGCGGGATATCAACTTTTGGCCGTCAATTTCAAGCCGAAGCCATCCTCAACCCTATAAATCCAGCATTTAGCCCTTCTGTGGTTATAATAAGCTTATTGTCATAGTCCCTATCTATGCAAAGCTATAATAAGCTTATCATCCTCCTCATGTGTAGTCATACTGAGCTTATTATCATAGTCTTTATATATAGTTATACCCGACCAGTATTCCCCAAAACCGTGTTCTAAAAACTCAGGCTCTGAAGTTAACCGAGGGTCCTGCCAGGCCCTGAACCGGGCGTACGAGCTGGAAGCGATGAAGGACGGAGGGTTTAGGGTTTGGGGTTGAGGGGCAGCTGATAAAAAATCAGGGCCGATATAATCAGCAATACCATTCCTGAAATTCCTCATTGAAGAAGGCCCCGTTGGTGCTACAATTAGGGCAATTAGGGGGCTTCGGCTTTTGAGAGGATCATAGGCATAGGCCAGGATTTGCAAGAATGGTTCAGGTTTTAGGGTTTAGGCACATGTTCGGTGCCTTCCTTGGTGAGGGCTTCATAGGCAGGATTTGAAACGGTTGCCAAAAAAATGCTTCCACGGGTTCCGAGTTCTCTCTCTCCCTGTTTCAAGGGCCTGAAGGAGTCCCATTCTTCCACCGCCCCTTTTGTCTGCCTTCTTGTTATGAGATTTTTTTGAAGTTGCCATACCTAAACCCCCAACAGTAGGTGGAAGAATGGCCCAGAACCCTTAAAAAGGCTATGATTTTACATACTTTTGGGGTCCAGGTAATGGGGGTCTAGCTTATTATTAAATCCCCTAAAAGGAGCCCAGTTGATTGCGGCTTGAACGTAGGAAGCCTGTTGGAGGCCTGCAGCCTCTGTTGAGTGATTTGTTTCTGTTCGGCCTTAGTAGAAGACTTATGTGTTGCAAAAGACGCGCGCCGGCTTCTCAAGCACACTTACAGTCTCGTAGGCTGTCTATGTGTTCGTGGACCGTGCAGGGTTCATTTCTTCCATAGCGGTCGGAACAATTAGTGCACCATCCCCTTGTTTTTCAATGTTACACCCCAAAACGCTGCTCCAAATGTTAAGGCCCATAAACCTAAAACCCTGTTCTACATGTTAAGGCTGCTATTCTGAAGTCGCTTGCAAAGCAACCCTTTGATAACGAAAGTTGCCCCGAAAAAGTACAGAAGGAGGCTCACAAGACCATGCAAGACCCTTCTTCAGGGGCCTAGACCCGGAACCATTGAGGCATGGCTTACCCTGCTTGCCAAACCTTGGAGGGTACTTAAGAACTTCATCACTGCAGCAGCTCAAGCCCCATGAAGCATTCCGGGCGCAGGACGCCTGGGACCTCGTAACTCTTTTAGAGGCCATACCTTTGACATCGGGCCTTTTGTCACGGGAAGCAGGGTGCAGGGAATGGGGGTTCCGGCGTCAAGGTTTCGGTGTCGAGGTGTAAGCTTGTGGCAGGCTGGTTTTGACCCAAGCTGGGATCGTAAACCTCGCACTTGCTGGAAACGGGGTTTTGGTGGGAATTCGAGAATCCTCACACCCGCACTTGCGTTGACTGCCCACATCTCAACAGAAAGCTTTGGAGACTTCCCCCTCGTTATTTGTCCCTCATCACGTCCAAAGAGTCTGAACGAACCGATCCGAACCTGAACCAGAGGCCTTTAACACAATCGAAGCCTCAGTTCGTCAGCTCTCCATAGAAGAGGCTTGAACACGTAATCCGGTAATTCGGCTTCTCTGGGTTCCTGACCATAATCATACTTACAGCGCGTAATTTCTGTTTCATAATACCTGTCCTGTTCTATTAAACAATGCCCTTAGATCTACCCGCAAGCCCAGAGCCCTACATTCTCCTGAGCCTTGAATTTTGAGCGTAGGGCCGGATTATCTTGTTGCACCCCACAACTACTGTAGGGGCCCACGAATTCTCCAATATCATTCTTTAGAGTTTCTTGTCGTAATGATAGTCTAAAAGACTTTAAAGATTGAGACAGTCATTAAGGCCTCTGTACTAGCATGGCAAAGCTTCTGGAAGGCTTCGACTCGCCCGCCTCCCCTACCCGACCGTGTGCCACTAAAGATTAATGATTAATGCCACTTCAGTCGAATGGAAGATGGCAGTCACAGAAGGTGACACTGTAAAAGGAGCAGTGCACCGGTAATCGGCGGTTCAGTCCTGCTTCGCCTGCCAGATCCACAATCTTCTCATGGACACGCCGTTGCCTTACGTTGCAGGGGCTTGGGGCAACGGGTTTAGGGTCCAGGGTTAGGGCTTAGAGGTTAAGCTAGGGCTTAGGTTATGATCGCTCATGTACCCAAATCAAGCCTGGTCTGACGTACTTCATGGATACTACAGACTGCAGTTGCTGTCATGACCAGATGTACAGGCCCCCAGACAGAACCAGACAATCTCTTGCTGCCGATGGTTGTACTCACTTCGTACCAAAATCATAAAAATCCGTAGTTCCTAAACCCTAAACCCCAAACCTAAGCCGAGGCACCTGAAAGAGACGACCAACATCGACCGTGCAAAGCCTGAGCCTCAGAGAGGATGCTGGGCAGCTGTGCCCGTCAGTCTGGGAGCAATCGATATATGACATACGTACTTTTTTGGGGTTTAGGGTTTTAGGGTTTAGGGTTCATGTTCCTAGTTTGAGGTGTCTCATTGTCTCATAGTGATAGTGGCGAAGGCAGACTTGCCGAAGACCTTAGTAACAAGAACTCCTGGAGAACTGTTGCTGGATCGGAGCTCCGGTCCATCCTTTCTACGGAGGGCGAGCCTCGTTGTAAGGGCCGCGATTCACTAAGGCCCTAAACCCCTATTTACAGTCGGGACAGTCTTGGAAGAGTGTCACTTCTCATCCGACCACGCGCCAATGACCTCGCCTGGCTTGTCCGAGCGTGAGTGCCGAAATGTCGAAACCGTCTAAGCATCTCGGTCTACGTGCATTCCGGCACCGTGCATTTAACCCTAAGGGTCCATGTGCCCAAATACTATATACTTTGGCCGTAATGTAGTCCCTATATAGGTACTTTGGGGCCAATGTATATACTATTTGGGTACATGGACCCTTAGGGTAACATCGGAATGTCATCATGTGTTTCAAGTTTAGATCTTCTCCCAACCCCAGCCCCAGTAACATGGGGGCCCAATATTGACCAATACTATCTTTTGAGGTTCCTGACTCTAAGTCTGAAAAAGAAATACTATACTAATTTTGGGGCTCCTCGTTTGAAAAACTATACCCCAAATCCCTTTGTTTCGCTCTTCGTCGACAGGCTGTCGCCCGCATCACCCCAAAACCCGATTCTGATTATCAAAGCCCCTCACGGTTTAGGGTTCAAAGTTCAAGGTTTAGCCCTAAACCCTGAACCCTAAACCCAAAACCATTAACACTCAAATCCGAGCCCTCGGACCCGCTTCGAAGGCGAAGTGTAAAACCTACATATGCATAATAACATTATATATATATGTGTTTGTATATATGTATATATATATATAACATATAACACAAAGCATAGACTAGATCATGAGGTTTGCGAACTATTTCAAGACTGTCGACTATGTCGGGGAGCCCAGGGGCCAGCGATTCTGGCTTTAGGGTTGAAACATTCCTTCTTGAGCCTGGACCCGGGGTTCTTCTTTTTACAATTAATTAAGGTTTAGGGTTCAGGGCAACGCTTTAGGGGTTTAGGCGGGGTTAATTTTTTCGGGCGGTGTGCAGGGGCTGTACGGCTTCAGAACTAGAGGGAGGAATGAAGAAGCTCATTGTATGGTGCAGGTTTAGGGCTTATGGCTCGGGGTTTGCATACGACTGGGACTCGAGCCCAGGGCATTCCGCGACAGGGTTGCGCATCACGAGTAACCTGTATTCAACGCATTTCTGGTCCTAAACCATTGCAGGATTTCCTCTAATCAGGCAGCATTGCAAGCAAGAAGCCGCTAATACTGCCGAATCCAAGCGTGTTCATGCTGAACTTCTGCCAAAACCGCCGCCTCACCTGATCAGAATCTGAAGGCAAACTCCGCATCTAAGCTTATAGAAGCCTGAATGATTGCCAATACTGCCCCCCCCCCCCGCCCCGTTCCTGAATATTTTGTCACAGGATACGATACCCCAAAACCCTCGTCGAATTATTGAGGCACATGGTGTCTCTAGACTGGGTAGATCGAAGGTCTAGGCTGTTTTGGTTCATCGCGATGCAAGCTGCTGGGCGGGTGGGGTTTAGGGTTACAGTTTAGGGTATCTAGGTTCTGGAAAAGTACCTTTTTGCTCTTTATTGTATCGTTGCCTTACTAAAACTGAGTAACAGGAAAAAGGGGTACCCGTATTGTTTAGGGGTCACTCAGGAACCCCGTTATAGACAGCCAGAAAGCAACCTGCAATCCCAGCGCCTGCACTTTTCCACGCTTTCTTCAGCAAGGGCCGCAGAGGTCATGCAATCCCCCGAACCTAGTCGAAACACTAAACCTCACCCTCAAAGCCTGAAAGCCCGCACCACAAGCCGAATGTGGTCCCGGCAGACCCAACCAGCAAGCTGTTCCAGTCTCTTCTAACCTGCGGGGTTTAGGGTTTAGGGTTGCAGGGTCTTGAGTCGTGTAG